CACCGAGCCGGCCGGGACTCTGTAGGTCACCAGGCGTCAACCCATGTATATAACGGGACGACCCGGTGGTGGCTTAGGGCAAGAAACAACCAATCGATAACCAAGCCGGCGAGTTGAGCCTCTTGGAGATCGAAACCCTAGCAATACCAAACCCAACTAGACGTAGGCTTTTACCTTCATCGTAAGGGGCCGAACTAGTATAAAAACTCTCTCGTGTCCTTTGTCCCGATTAACCCCTTTAAGCTTCCTAGTGCGATGGCCCTACGACTAAGTCCTTGCTCTAGGACATAGGACATCTGTCATGACAATTCCACGACACTTACGGTTTCCCCATTTTATGATGACCACGATCAGCCTACGTGGTTCGTGTCGTAATAGCACTGCTCCACCCATCGAGCTAAATAAGCTTAGTTGTACAAATTCAAATATGATATTATGCTGATATTAGTAAAACTGAGATATGTTTAATTGGTCAGCTAAATGTTCCTACTTTAGTTTCGAAATGCATGTGAGCCACATATGGAGAGACCGGAAGGAATAGTATTTCTCTGTGCGCTCTGGTTCATCATGGGTGGCCAGCCGACATTGTATAGAAAGACTTGTAATATCTTCAATCTTCTTGCTCTTCTGCTCTTCTTTAAGATGATCCTCTTCTCTTGCGGTCGACTAGTCAGGTCGAGTTATTTTCCCTTAGTATATTTTGAAACTGTCAGGTCAGGTCGACTTGTTATTCTTTACTATACATTGAAGCTGTCATCTGCGAAGTATCATCACTTCTGGAGCTCTCATATTTTGAGTAGTAGGCCACATTATATTAATGCACACACCAAATTACAGCATGCATGGCACCTCTTAGAAGAATTGTAGAGATAGCACAGAGGGGTTTATAGGGAGGAAGTATTGGATTGGAATCACTTCTGCATTACAAAGATAATCTCACTTGTTTTTATGTTTTCATGCATGTCAGGTATTGAACATTATCAAAATGAATATGAGAATGGGCGCATGAGAGGAATATTGCGGAACAATCCACCGGCTAACAAACTTGGCATGGTGGAGGATGGCCTATCTTATTCACCCATCAAGGTGCATGCTCTAACTTGGCAAGGTTGTATTGGTCGCACATATTTTGCATCTGACCTCTTGCATTACTTCTACTTTGTTACACCATCTGCTTAGTTTAAGCATCATATATGAGTATATGCCATACCTATCCATTTTCTGTATCTATTCCATGTGTCATCATACTATGTTTTTCCAGTCAAATGTTATTCTTTTGTAATAGATGTCCAAAAGGAAGAGGGTGAGTGCAGATCCTTAAGGAGTACAAACTAGGTATTTGGAAAAGGTAGTGATACCTGTTAAATCAGATAGATCAGCAGTCATAGAAAACATAGGCCCAACTGTACCAGACTTTACCCCTACTCCAGTGGCCAGACCCTTATTAGAACTGCTGAGAGCCCAGCATCAGGTACTATCTATGATATCAATCCAAAATTTGAACTCCTAAATTTCTGCATGTGCCTTACCTTCTCTCTTGTATGAAAACTAATTTCAGATGAATCTTCTCGCTCAAACGATCATAGGATCTCACGACAATACTGGGCTCTGCATTGCTCTTGTCAGTACTTCTTGCCCTTTGTCAGCATACTTACACTCATTGCTGTTTGATTATGTAGCATCACTGTAAATGTTCGCTTCTCTATCATCCCTTTGCTTGAAATTATAAGATCTATATTTACTCTTAGATAAATGTAGAATTAACACAATGGTTATGAAGTTTTGAATTGCTCATGTAAGTACCTGTTGTCATGTACTCCCTCTGTATCGAATTAATTGATGATCAATTGGATGTATTTAGAACTTAACAGTGCTAGATACATCCATTTGAGCGACAAGTAATAACGGGCGGTGGTGGTATTACTGTACATGCATCACGAGATAGTTGATTGTCTAGCATTACTCTGCATCTTATCTGCCCTGCCCTCCACTTTCTCCAAATTATCATATCTACATTTACTCTTACCAAAATGTTGAATAAAGCCAATGCCACTACACATGTTGATGTTTGCATTCCTCTTGTCAGTACATTTTGCCTTGTAACGATGTACTTAATTAATTGCTATTTGATTATGTATCATCAGTCTGCACCTAAGCTTCATTATCCTCTATTTCTTCCAATATTATTTGATCTATATTTACTCTTTGCAAAATGTAGAATAATGGCCACGCTTATAAAGAATTTTCTTTGGGGAATTTATTGAATTATCCTTCCATCAACATGGAGAAGGACTTTGTCCAGCCCGTGTTAACATGTAATGTAAGTTCATCCTTCTCAACCCTTCAAACTTTGTTCTAGTATAGATTTGGACAGGCATCATTTCCTCCACTGTTGTTTACATCTGATTGGATGTTTGCAACAACTACCAGTTTTAAATTGTAGTTGTAAAAACATGTTCCTTATGCATAACAGATCAATTTATTTGCTTATGTAATTGTGAAATCTTTTACGTGTCTCCTTGTTTCTCTTTTAGAGGCGTATCTCTTATGCCAGGCAGAACTTTAGGAAAGATAGTGAGCCAAACCATCTTGAGGACAGCGAGATGACCCCAAGGTCCTGTCTTGATGAAGACAGTGAGCTAACGCTACGCACCAGCAGGTGTGAGACAACCTTTGTGCAGTCGTTGCCTCAATCAGTTCAACTTCTTCAGTCTCAACTTAAAGCGGAAAGGCTTGCTTCAGCTCAGCTCCGACTTGAAGTCAAAGATGTAATGAAGATGTCAGGGGACTGCCTTGCGCACTACGGTGCCATACAGCTAGGGATGAAGCATCTATCGTTGACACAACTGAGGTCTCATTAGCTTGTTCGGCTGCTTGCGGGGCCCAACCTTGCCAGGTCTATTGCCTTCTGAAGTGCTCTTAGTTTTGTATATTCTTTTGTCGGCGCGTTTATATGCTCTGGTGGCGACCTTTGATGCCCAGTGTATGTAATCTGCGGTCATGTTGCGCTTTATTATCACCGGTAGCGAACTTTGATTCCCAGTGGATGTAATATGCCATAATTTCTTTATTGTATAGTCTAGGTTTATTCCTTGGTTGGTATGCTGTAATTTAGGCCGGAAGGTTCAGTGGATCTCAGTGTTGTCGGTCTTCAGGTCGGCCCGTTACTCATATGGGCCAAAACATGGGCCTATAATCATCTCGGGCCATTAGCAGGTCTGAACCTATAGTAGTTTCTCGCCTTTAATAGGCCATGGGCTACATATTTACTGTAGTGACATTGGGCCTCCTACGGGCCGTAGAAACAATGGTCCTTCTACGGTCCGTAGAAACAATGGGCCTTCTACGGGTCGTATCATCAATGGGCCTTATACGGGTCGTATGATCGATTGGCCAAACATGGGCCAAAAACAGACCGCATTATGGTTGTAAACGGGCTAGAGTTGGAGTCGTCCATTCATGGCCCGACCATAACGGGTTGTCGTTAATAGGCCGTATTTGATGACGCTATGAAAACGACCCAACGTATTAAAGGGCCACAAACGGGCCGACTGTAACCACAGACTGAATTTGGCCCACAACAGAAAATGACAGTAACGGGCCGTAAGTAACCGAATGCTAGAAATGAGCCTAAGAATAAATGGGTCCTGAGAAGGCCGAAAGATAACATGGGCTGCAAATGGCCCAATGGATTAATGGGTCGTTAATGGGTATAAATTGATACACTGTTCATTACGGGCCAGTTTCACCATGGGCCGTTAATGGGCCAAGAGTTACAAAGGGCCTTATATGGGCCGAAAGACGTCATGGGCCATACATGGGCTAGAACTTAAAATGGGTCGGAATCATATTCTACGGCCCAGATGACGCTATTGGGCCTAATTCGGATAGGTTGTAACGGGCCCTGGGTTAGTGGGCTATAAATGGGCTATATGTGAACAGGCCGTTAACAGGCTTTTCGTGGGCCAGCCCGCCACCTTTTGACCAAGTCAAACGGGCTGGTCTTTTCACAGGAATGGGCCTCTGTTTCGCCGTGCCACGTGTCGACGTATCATAGGCGCCTTCGGTCCAATGAGTGGATGACATCTGTCCCAACGATGACCCGTCACGTGTTTCCTCCAGCCAATGATGATTTTACACGTGGAAAATCCCCATTGGTCGGGGCTGTTAGCGGGTTATCGGATCTAAAACCGGACCCGATAGCTTAACGGTGTTCCGTTACGGTGGATGCCACGTGTCGGTCACCCTTGATGAAAGCACTTCTGTGACGCGCGATTTATCGTCATGAAAGTGGACACTTCCATGATGATAATTTTGGTAATGTCATGGAACACTTCTACGACAACACATGTATGACTATCTTGATTCTGTCATAAAATCGTCATGGATGTACATGCATGACAAAAAACGTGACCTACTGTGACAAACATGTATCATCACGGAAGTGTATTTTTTTATAGTGAGATCACTTCACCCATCAAAACTGAACTCCTTGTTAATGCTGAATTGCTTGCTGGCTTGTTATTGTTATTGTAGTGTTGCTATGCACATTGCTATTGTTAACCGGAAGATGTTGTATCTTTGCTTGATGTTGTACCTTTCCTGCCTTCTTATTGTTTCTATTATTGCTCGTTACCTTTTTGTATACCTGTCGCATTTCTATCAGAGACTAAGTTCCTTCTTTTATGAAAAAACTTGTAGATTCATAGTGAGGCAAAGTGATTGTATGGTGTCCCATTTCCATACTTTGAGCAGTTGGCTGCTATTTATGGCAAGGAGATAGCAACTGGAGAAAATGTTGAAGGCTTTGGTGAGGCAGTGGGAAACTTGGAAAATGAAATTGCTATGGAAGAAGAGGAACACAAGGAAGAGGACTTGATCTCAACAGGGACAGCTAGACGCTCTGTCGATACTCGCTCTATGGATGGAACTAGTTCCAAGAGGCAGAGGAAGGAACCAAGGCCAAAGAGGGTGACGGACCAAGTGATCCCTTTGCAGCGATGCTTCAAGATGTCAATAGCCAGCTGAACAATGTGACACAATATGTGGGTACAATGGCAGCATCATTGTCAGCATCAATGGCACAAGAAGCATCGCAAGAGGATCCTCAACAGAAATCAAAAGAGAAGGCTATTAGTGAATTGGCTAGGCTTAGCTTTACCGGGAGTGAGATCGTTGAGGCTGCAACCGTATTTGCTAAAGCTCCAAATCAGATGAACATGATGCTTGCGCTTCCAGAAAATCTGAGGAGGGAGTATGTCCTAAAAATGCTCTCCGGTATCCTTTTGCTAAACTCCACAATCTCTTTTGCTAAACTCTTTCAGCTTTGACAACATCTACCTCTGATTGGCAAAATCTGGTTAAAGGATGTCTTGGGTGAACGCAAAAATATTTTTAAATTATGTACTTATTTGATGAGTTTTAATCTGTGCTAGTGAAGCACCTGTGAAATGCATGTGAAAACCTTGTCAAATTGCATGAATTTAAAACTGGTTCTGCATGTGAAAGTTGTCTGACGTATTCGGATTACAGTGCCACACCAAACACTGTAAAGGTAACTGATAACGTTACTGGCATGTGCCAAACAAAACAACAAATGGACTGTTACCCCTTCGATCTCCCCTGACCTGTTACCATTAACGTTTGCGTTACCAGACAGAGAACCAAACACCTCCTTATATTTAGAAACAGCGGGATTAGTTGATATCAAGTTATCGTGTTGATACGCGTGTTCGGTTAGACTAATTGGAGCTTCAATTGCCCCTACAAACAAAAATAACTCCATCTGATCCAAAAAAAGTGTTGTTACACTCTTTTTGGTTCGGAAGGAGTAGAATTTTTGAATGTCGCGTATAGTGACTGTGTTTGCACACAACGATCAAGGATAGATGACTTTATCTAATAAAATGGTTGTGTCAACGTTAAGAGTAAGTATAGTGGGTGACATAAAGGAAACGGGTTATAGAATAAGAATCGGCTATAGCACAAGACCCAAGTCAGGTCGGCTATTAATAAAGTACTATATATTTAAATCTTATTATTGTATAAACGGGCTATTAAGTTGACTTTAGATGACATGACAACTTCTTATAGCGGCTATATTATTAGGACATGTACAATGATTGATAAGATAATCTTATCTTAAATCTTGCATGTACTTTAGAGATGACAAAAAGAATGTCTACAATGGGTCATCTCTTAGCTTTATCTTGAATTAGCTATTCCTAAAAATATGATGAGACATATTGTGTTAAAAGATCATCTGTGAAGACAAATATTTTCTTATGAGTTCTCTTTTCTTCATGTCATTATTTATTCTACGTGACACTTTTAAGATACTAGTACTATTGTACATGCCCACCATGATTAAAGAAACGGAGAACAAAGACTTGCACGCATGTTCATGCAGTTAGCGTCAACCGGTCAAGGGCGTCAACCATGCATGGAGCGAGGAAACTTCCGACCAGTTTTCGTTGCAATGCGGGTGTAGTTAAGTTCGCGTCAGCTTCCACTGAATACTCTTAAATTCTCCACTGCCTCCATTGCATCGTCATGTCTGTACTCTCGGCGTAGGACGTGCATGGATTCATACACTAACGAGTGACGAAGGTGATGCCATCCCAACCTGCACCCCGCACACACCTCATCTGGCTAGAAATGTGTCCCTTGCACGTAGCTAAAAGCTGAGTAGTTTAGTTTTTATCTGTAGATAATGTGAGCTGTTGTCATCAGTCTGCGTTTCGGATTCTTTTCTTGATTGGCAATTTAAGATAGGATTTGAACCACGGATAGATTGATCAAATGGGGATGATCAAATTATGGCTTTGCAGTCTTTACTAGTGGGGACAAGAATCCCGAACGCATCTCTTTTTGAAATGTCGATTTGCACTAAGGGCTTGAAGGATGATCATTGAAAAACTTCATCTAGAAGACACAGACACTTCAAAATGGCATTTGGAAGACATCATCAAAGTCATGGTGGACCAAAGTGACCCACACGAGCACTCCCAATAAAAAGGCCATGACATCTCTCATCATGTTGGTCTCGTGGACCGCATGAAACATGAGAAATGCTAGAGTCTTCCACAACAAAAATGGCTCACCGCCAATCTTGCTAAATAACATTGTGTCGGATACAAATCAGTAGATCACCATGAGAGTCAAATAACTACGGACGATTTTTATGCGTGAGTATTCCTATCGTGTAATAAGGGGCACTTGTAAAAACTCTATTATCTTCTTAATTAATCAATGAAGCAACTCATTAACCTCCGTTTTAAATATTTTTTAAAAAGAAAATAAAAGAACAAGAATATCTACGTATGCATATTCCAAGCGAGTTGTTTAAGTAAGCATATTCACATAGAAAACTAGCATAACCCTGCAAATATTCTTTCCGTCTATAAATATAAGTTTTTTTAGAAATTTTAATATAGACTATATAAAGAGCAAAATAAATGAATCTACGCTTTAAAATACGTCTATATACATCCGTATGTAATACATATTGAAATCACTAAAAAGACTTAGAGCATCTATAGCCGAAGACATCAAATCTGGCCCCTCAAACGTCCACGAGCACTGACCAGGCACTCCTCATTTTGTTGTGTCCGCACCCGTATATCTCAAATCCTGCCCCTTATATCCATGCAACACATGCACGTGTAAAAATGAACTTACGTAGATCAACGAACTAGCACCAAATCTAGTTTTGGACGTAATAATAGCATAAACGATCATCAGATAACCAAAAGATGTAGTTTCAATCGGACAATACCCTAAACATACGATAAAAGAACATAATTAAACAGGGAAGGGCAGAGAAAATCACCATTACCCTCAGTCCCCTTCCCCTTACGGTCGGCGGTGCTGCTTTGGCCTTCGGTGTAGGCGCTAGCCGTCGGAGGGTCGTCGTCGGAGGTTGATCCGTCGTTGGAGTCGTCCGACAACTCCTTGTGACCTCCGGCAAGCCTCCGGAGCAAGTGTTCCTGCTCCTTGGCGCGCCTCCTCGCCTTCACTTTCGCCGCCGCCTTCACTGACACCTCGCGCTTTGACAACTCGATAGCGAGCGGGAGCGCTTTGGTGTTCTTCCGCCGCAGCCGTTGCGCATCCGTCTTCACCGCTGTGAGGGAGCGCCGGAGGACAGAGACAATGAGCGTGTCCTCAGGATCGACCGGCGCGCGCGCGAATGCCTAGCGCCTCACCGACGCATCGCCCGCCGCCATGGCCTTCCTCGCGTGTTGCCGCTCGTGCTTCCAAATCGGGCGTCTTCGACCGGCCCGACACCGGCGAGGGCACAAGCACCCAACGGTGCCCGTGGATGCCCTCCGGATGTAGAATGGACGTGGTGACGGCGTATCTAGAGTGGGCCGGAGCGGGCGGCGCTCCCACGAGTGCTGCGCGTTGGACGGGACGACCTGGCAACGTCGCCCGCACTGCGACGGCGGGCGAAGGGGGAAGGCGCATCACTCCGTGAGCTGCCTCCGCTACTCCCGCCCTAATCTAGATGGGATCGGTGCAAAGCAATGCGGAGAGCGGCCGCATCGTCGTCGCTCTCGTCACCATTGGAGCCGGAGCTGCTGCGGTTGTTCGCCATGGATCGGATTGAAAAAAGAAGAAGACGGATTGGAAAGAGAAGAGGACAGAGAGAGTGGAGTAGATTGAAGTCTAGGATTCATCAAAGGGGATATCTGTGTGGTTGGGGTGGGTTGGGGGGACGCGCTCGGGCCGCTCCTTATCCGTCTCATATTTGAGTTGGACATGAGGGATGCTAGACAGACCGGGCGTTTAAGGACATTTTAAGGCATCTCCGATGGGTCGGTTTTTTATGACTGGTTACTGCACGCCCAGGCATTTGAGATGGGTTTAAGGCTGCTGACTGTTTATATTTAAGCAACGGAGGGAGTAGATGCTAGTACCAGCATTTGTTGTTCTCGTCAGTGAGCGACAGCTCGTGGTTAACCATGTTCGTGCGTGGCACACCTCCCGCGGAAAGCAGAACGATGCGGCGTTGCCGTGCAATTGAATCAACGGATCCGCCCCCTGCAGAACTTCGTCTTCCCGGTCGCGCCACTGCCGCCACTTGTTAACTAGTAGCCCGATTCACGCCAGCCGTCTTATCCAGACGGACCAACTCCATCTGACCATCCGGGCTACGTACTATGCCAGTGTGTCGACCGAGAAGAAGGCGGCGGCATTGCACGCTGCGGCCGTGTGGCGAAGCAAAGCGCGCCAGGGTGCGCTCTGCTCCGCGCTTGGTTGCGTCGTTGCCTGTAAAGAAGATAGAGACGAACACGGAGGGCCCAGAAGACGGAGGGGCCTACGTAAGAGCAACTTTTCAATGGAGAGATCTATTTCGTCTGCCCGTGTTCGTTTGGCTTGACGCGGACAAAATGAGGGCCCAACGCGTCGATTCAAATTTAAATCGTGTCCGAATGTCGTTCGCACCGACCCATTTCCGACCCAAAATTGCGTCTGGAATGCGTCGGCGTGGACGCGAAGCGGACGCGCCGCGCGTCTCCTCGCCGTTCGCCGCGTCCCAATCTGGCGGCCACCCAACCGCCACCGGTCGTCTTATTTATGACGACCATCGACAGCGGGCCCACGCGTCAGCCATTGGAAGCGTCCTTTTTTAACCACGCGCGCGGCGGGGTCGGCCTCATCCACTTCTCCTGTCCACATCTGGCCCCCCACCACTCCCTTTGCTTCCTCGCCGGCGACCGCAAACCCTAGCCATGGGCCTCTTCGGCAGCAGCAATGGCACTGGGAGTACAGGCAGCCATTGCCGTACCCTGTTGTCACGCTGCTGCACCATTGGCATCTGGATCCGCAGCGAATCCCGGTGCCGGCGGTGCCGACAAGGTGCGTAGGCACCGCGCGCAGCTCACGCCGGAGCAGCGTCGGCTGTCAGAGTATGCCGCCGACTCCCCCAACTGGGAGGAGTGGTTCGCCCTCGAACACGAGGAGCAACGGCGCTCGGGTGTCGACGCCGTCCCGCCGCCGTTCCCACCGCCGCCCCCGCAGGTAGAGCCGGAGGACATGGAGGCGGAGTACCAAGCCGCCTTCGAGGAGGCCCTGCAGCAGGCGCTGAAGGCTAGCCGCCTCGCGGAGGATGCGCACTGGGTTGGGCTGGAGCAAGCCCTTGCCCTGTCGGCAGCGGGGGACTCTGTCCATACCCCGTTCTTCATGCCGCCACCGCCACCGTCGCCGCCCGTCCAGCCTAAGCCAGAGCCGGAGCCGGCGCGTAAGCGCTCCCCACCCCCCTCCCCCCCCCCACTTGGCCGGAGGAGGCCTACTCGTGGACGGGTCAGTACCGTGAGTGGGTGAGTGCGCCTCCCGTCCACTTCTCCGCGACGCCGGAGGAGGAGGTGGCCCACCTCGAGCGATGGAAGGAGCACTGGCTCCGCCAGGAGCAGGCCGACGGCGAGGAGCAGATGCGCTACGACGCCA